AAAAAATTTCACGAAATAAATTGTCACGCACAACGAGTCTGTGTGCAAAATGTCAGCTCGATTGGATCACGGGATGGGTTAAAACGACCGAAAGCACGGTCCTAAGCGCGCAGCAAGCAAGTGAACTTAATAAAGGATTTTAAAAGTGGCGGTGGTTTTCACACCTGAGGATGATTGCTTGTGTTGCAATCGAACGTCGTGATCATTTAGTATTTACTTTTGCAGAAGTGAACCCGCCTACCACAAATGATAGCCGCTCAACAAAGTGACCCTCACATTTGTACATTTCTAGCAGCAAAATAATGGAGATGTGGGAAGGCCGAGGTGGTTTTTTTATTTCCCGCCGGATGTGCTGAACCCGATATCCTGATGGTCCTGAAAGAGTTCAACGTCTTTGTTTGTTTGTCAGATTAATTCGAGGTAGGGTATGAAAAAAATGAACCCCAGGCAGGCGCATGTGGCATCCCGTGGGAATGGATTCCTGAATTCCATACCAGGAGGTGAGAGAGAGCGCAGACAAAGCTAAGGCGCAGCTCTGCAATGGATTGCTCACTCCAGGTGACGTTGATTATAATGTGAAGGGAAAACCAGACCCGGACAAATCCACGCGACCACGGGAAAGAGAGAGAGAGACGCTGACTCCAAATATACAGGAGCAGACGTCAGGGTCATATCGAACCCATGACCGCCTGTATACCAGGCGAGGTAGTTAACATCTCCTAGCCACTGTGATTAATGAGAAAAGAGAGACACTCAAACTCCTAATCTACAGCACAGGCATCTTCAGGGTCGGGATCGAACCCACGACCTCCTGTATACCAGGCGAGGTGGTTAACATCTCCTAGCCACCGTGATGATGATGATGAGAAGACACGCAAACTCTAAATATACAGCAGCAGGCATCGTCAGGATCGGGATCGAACCCACGACCTCCTGTAAACCAGGCAGGTTGTTAACATTTCCTCGCCACCGTGATGATGATGAGAGAGAGAGAGAGCTGACTCCCAAATATAAAGGAGCAGACGTCAGGGTCGGGTTCGAACCCACGGCCTCCTGTATACCAGGCGAGGTAGTTAACATCTCCCAGCCACCGTGGCGCCATTGCGGTTACAATCATCGCTACAATGCACGATTTGTATGGTGGCCGTTCATGCAGATTGCATCTCACAATCGCTGAGAAGCCACAGGCAAAGCTGGCAGGCAGCAGCAGCCAGCGCGATCAGGAGCCAGCACTACCAGGAGTTGCCCCAGCTCTGCTGCCCTCTATATGTTCAGCCGTTTTCAGCTAATCGATGAGCATTTGTCCGTGGGAGGAATCCGGAGCAACCCGGAGAGAAATGCACGCGTGCAAGGGGACAACACTCTATCCCGCGCACATGCAGTATATGGTGTGGTGTGTGTGTAATCTAATCTGTGGGTCTCTGGGTGTGTCTCTATGGGTCTGGGTGTCTGTGGGTCCTCTGTGTGTGTCTCTGTGGGTCTGGGTGTCTGTAGGTCTCTGTGGGTGTCTCAATGGGTCTGGGTGTCTGTGGGAGTCTTTATGGGTCTGGGTGTCTGTGGGTCTCTGCGGGTGTCTCTGGGTCTGGGTGTCTGTGGGTCACCTATGGTGTCTCTGGGTGTCTGTGGGTTTCTGCGGGTGTCTCTATGGGTCTGGGTGTCTGTGGTCTCTGCGGGTGTCTCTGGATCTGGGTGTCTGTGGGTCACCTATGGGTGTCTCTGGGTGTCTGTGGGTCTCTGTGGGTGTCTCTGTGGGTCTGGGTGTCTGTGGATCCTCTGTGGGTGTCTCTATGGGTCTGGGTGTCTGTGGGTCCTCTGTGTGTGTCTATGGGTCTGGGTGTCTGTGGGTGTCTGTGCGTCTTTGTGGGTGTCTCAATGGGTCTGGGTGTCTGTGGTCTCTGTGTGTGTCTCTATGGGTCTGGGTGTCTGTGTGTCTCTATGGGTCTGGGTGTCTGTGGGTCTCTGTGGGTGTCTCTATGGGTCTGGGTGTCTGTGGGTCCTCTGTGTGTGTCTATGGGTCTGGGTGTCTGTGGGTGTCTGTGCGTCTTTGTGGGTGTCTCAATGGGTCTGGGTGTCTGTGGGTCTCTGTGTGTGTCTCTATGGGTCTGGGTGTCTGTGTGTCTCTGTGGGTCTGGGTGTCTGTGGGTCTCTGTGGGTGTCTCTGTGGGTCTGGGTGTCTGTGGGTCTCTGCGTGTGTGTCTCTGTGGGTCTGGGTGTCTGTGGGTCTCTGTGGGTGTCTCTGGGTGTCTGTGGGTCTCTGTGGGTGTCTCTGTGGGTCTGGGTGTCTGTGGGTCTCTGTGGGTGTCTCTGTGGGTCTGGGTGTCTGTGGGTCTCTATGGGTGTCTCTGGGTGTCTGTGGGTCTCTGTGGGTCTGGGTGTCGTGGGTCTCTGTGTGTGTATGGGTGTTGAACTTCTTTCGCACCGCACGTAGCAACCGCGCAATTCGGGAGGTGGCGGGGGAAGGACAACAAACTAAACACAACGACAACAAGAAGCAGTTCTGCCTCCATACTGTGATAAATTGTGCATTGTAGTGATTGAATATACAGCTAATTCTCCCTCCCTGTCTCCCTCCTGTCCCTCGCTGTCTCCCTGCCTCCCTGTCCTGCCTCCCTGTCCCTCCGCAGAACTCAATCCGCCACACCCTCTCCCTGCACAGCCGCTTCGTGCGCGTCCAGAACGAGGGGCCCGGCAAGAGCTCCTGGTGGACGTGTGAGCGCTCCCGGCGCCTCCGACCCCTCCCTCCTCCCTCTCCTCCTCCTCGTCGTCGTCGGCGGCGTCGTCGCGGCCACGTCCACCCTCCTCCATCTCCTCGCCGTCGGGCCCCGGCGGAGCGTCGGCGGCGTCGGCCGCGCTGGCGGCCCTGGCTGTCGAAACCCGGGCGCCGTCGGGCAGACGTCGATGGACGCCAGCAACGGGAAGTTGGCGCGCAGACCGCAGCAAGGCGGCGCGCAAGAAGGGGGCGGCCGCCACCGTGGCCACCACCACGCCGCGGGCGGGCGGCTTCGCGGGGGTGGTGGGGGAGCGGCGGCCGCGGGGGGGCCACTGGAGGGGCGGGGATCCTCTCGTTCTCGCTCGGTGAGTGGCGAGGGCGGTGAGCGGCCGCGATTGCTCTTGGTGCCACGTACGCATGTAATGTGTGTACGCTGAACTTGTTTCGCACCGTACGTAGCCAACCGTGCTAATCTGTGGTCTCTATGGGTCTGGGTGTCTGTGGGTCTCTGTGGGTCTCTGTGGGTCTCTGTGGGTCTCTGTTGGTCCTCTCTGGGTCTGGTTGGCTGGGGTCTCTGTGGGTCTCTGTTGGTCTCTATGGGTCTGGGTGTCTGTGGGTCTCTGTTGGTCTCTCTGGGTCTGGGTGATCTGGGTCTCTGTGGGTCTCTGTTGGTCTCTATGGGTCTGGGTGGCTCTGGGTCTCTGGGTCTCTATGGGTCTGGGTCAGAGGTCGCAATCGGGTACCCGATACCCGTACCCTACCCGATACCCGGCTACCCGTACCTGGCCGGGTACGGGTAGCCGTTTGCGACCTGGTGCGACCGGGTACGGGTAGAAATCAAAACCCGTTGCGACCTCTGGTCTGGGTGGCTGTGGGCTCTGTGTCTGTGTGTGTACGTTGAACTTCTTTCGTACCGTACTTAGCCAACCGTGTTAATCTGTGGGTCTGAGTGGACTTGCCGATGACTGGTATCAGCGAGTGGCGAAAGCACAGCAAGTTGGCACAGTAGGGGGGCACAGGTGGTGCATCAGCCACTCATCTCAGTCAGTCGACTCGTGGCACCTGGGTCTGCCCCATGACCTCCTGCCAGCGGGCGTTCGACACTTCACGTGGCCTCAAGTTGCACCTAGCCTGGCACAAGTGTCGTGGTGACGTCACCCGCCACTTAGTGGCGACTTGCGGTTGCTATTGTTGTTGTGTACGTTGACCTTCTTTCGCACCGTACGTAGCTCACCGTGCCCACCTGTGGGTCTGTGTGGGTCTGTATGGGCGTGGGTGTCTGTGTGGTAACCGTCTTGGTTCGATGGCCAGCCAGAAGCCGCAGCTATTGCCAGGATGAGGACCGGAGATTGTGGGGTGATCGTGGACTTTGTGCCTCTAACTGCCTCGGCACCTCACCCCCCACCTCACCTCACCCCCCACCTCACCTCACCCCCCCACCTCACCCCCCCACCTCACCCCCCACCTCACCTCACCCCCCCACCTCACCCAACCCCACGACCTCGTAGACACGGGAGGCCCTGGCCCGCCGGACGATCTGGACGCGTGGACGCAGTTCCGCACGCGCGCCAGCTCGGACGCCAGCACGCTGAGCACGCTGAGCGCGGGGGGCGTGGGGGGCGGTGGAGGAGGGGGGGGGCGGAGGGGGAGGGCCCTCTCCCCGGCGCCCGCCCGCCGCAATGCGCGACTCCTCCGACTTGGACGACGACTACGACGACTACGACGACGACGGCGACTTCGGCGTCGGCGGCTCGCTGTTGCCGGATCTGTCGGCCGTGGACCACCACCACCACCGCCACCACCGCCGCCTCGACGACGAGGAGGAGGAGGGTGGCGGCGGCGGTCGTTGCGACGACGCCGACGACGACGAAGAAGCCATGGTGACGTCCGGCTGCGCCGAGCAGGCCATGGGTTTTGGTGGCTCGCGGGCCGAGGTGGCCGACCACCACCACCGCCGCCACCGCCACCACCACGACGACGACGACCAGCACGGGCTGGGCTTCGGCCTCAACGAGGCCATGATGGACGAGCTGCTCGACTCGCTGAGCCTCTCCCTGCAGCAACAGCAGCAGCAGCAGCAGAACTCGGCGTTGGCCGCGGCGTCACCGCCGCCGCCGCCGTCGTCGTCGTCGCTGGCCGCGGCCATGCTGATGCTGGATGGCGACGACGAGCCGCGGATGAACAAGGCGATGCTCACGCACGCCGACCCGCTCATGTCGCAGGCGACGCCGAACCTCGGCCGCCACCTCCACCTCCACCACCACCAGCAGCAGCTTCACCACCACCACCAGCAGCAACAGCAGCAGCAGAGGCAGCAGCAGCAGCAGCTACTGCTGCTCCACAAGCAGCAGCAGAGGATGGCGGAGCTGGCGGCGTCGGCGTCGTCCCTGCCTACGGCCACGAGCCACCTGGGCAACTCTCTCTCCTCGCCCAGCCTTCCACAAGGCAGCCACGGGCCCCTTCTCCTCGTCGCTGCCCAACGCGACGCGGGCTTCTTGCAGCAGCAGCAGCAGTTGAATCACCACCAGCAGCAGCAGCCGCAGCAGCAGCAGCAGCCGAGGTTCCCTTGCGACCTCGACGTGGAGATGTTCAACGGGAGCCTCGACTGCGACGTCGACTCGATCATCCACAGCGAGCTGCTGCTCGACGGCGCCGGCTTCGAGTTCTCCTTCGACTCGGCGCCGTCGCCCGACGGCTCCTCGCTGGCCGGCGGCAGCGGCGGCGCTCACAAGAACTGGCTCAGCGGCTGAGGGCTGGGGGCACTGGCAGGCGGGCGGTCAACAAGCCGGCACGGCGACGAAGGCCCGGACCGCGAGATTGCGCCGGCCACAAAAATCGGGGGGGGCGGGGGGGGGCTTGGAATTGGAGGTGGGGGGAGGGGGGGTCGGGGGGGGTGGCGGTTGGGGAGGGGGGGGGCAGGGGGGCCGTGGTTGTCGCGCCGGGGATGTCGGTACTGAACCAACGCTTGACTAGTACGAGGAATGACACGGTGGGGGGGGGTGGGGGGGCGGTTGGGTGGGTCGTTGGGTGGGTGGGTGGGTTGTCGGGTGGGTTGGTGAGTCGTTAGGTAGGTGGGTGGGTCGTTGGGTTGCTTCCGTTCACTGCCAAATCTCGGAACACGCCCAGCGGCTCGCCCTTAATTCTCTCTAGAGAGGCGTGGCAGCAGCAGCAGCAGCAGCAGTGCCGCTGTTGTTATAAGGACGACGTTACTCACCGCAGAGAAGCGTCGCCACACCACCACTGCCCACTGGCGGCAAAAACTGTGCCACTCGCCCTCCCCGTATGGCATTGCCGGAGCCCTCGGCACTGCTACAGTTACTCGGTTTGAGTTTTTTTTTACCCGACGACGTACACACACGTACACACATGTACACACACGTACACACACGCGTACACACACGTGGTGTACACACACACGTACACACACGTACACACGCGTACACACACATGTACACACGCGTACACACACGCGTACACACACGCGTACACACACGCGTACACACACGCGCACACACACGCGTACACACGCGTACACACACATGTACACACACGCGTACACACACACATACACACACACGTACACATGCGTACACACACGCGTACACACACACACACCACACGTACACACCCACGTCATTGGAACGGTAAAGGAGTTTGACGGCCGTGCCGCTGCCAGTTGTGGCACAAACCGCACCCCCCCCCCCCCCCCAAATTTTTCGTATCGGGTGTGTCGCTTAATTTGGACGGTGACGCGGCGGTGGGGTGGACACCCGTGCCGCCCAGGGTTGTGGTTGGGTGGGTGGTTGGATTGGTGGGTGGGCGGGTGGGCAGGCGTCCGGGCGGACGAGCGGTTGGATTGGTGGGTGGTTGGGTGGGCGGGCGGGCAGGCGGGCGGGCAGGCGGGCGGGCGTGTGGGCGGGTGGGTGGGTACAGGTACTCGTCAACTTGATTATTGAAGCACTCCGAGCCTCAGGGGCGCGCCCGTAGTTGGCCTTGTAGATAAGTACGTCGATTAGCAAACTTCGGGCGAATCTGCGGGTTCTTTTTTAAGTTTCTCCGTGTCCCGGTCGTCGGGCGAACGACTTGCCGAGGGCTTTGCTGTCGGAGGGAATTATGTGGGAGGGACGAGGTGTGTGGGGGGTGGGGGGGGCGGCGATGAGGCGGTAGTCGCCCTTCGCTGTATAGAAATTGCCACCCCCCTACCCTGTATAAGCATTGAACTTTGTTTACTTTAGCGAGGTTGTAATCGCGGTTGGCCGATTGACGGGGGTGGGGGGGGGCGGTTGTTGATGGGGGGGAGGGGGGGCGGTTTATGGGGGGGGGGGGTGAGGAGAGGGGGGTGGTTGGGGGGGGTGTTGACGGGAGGGGGGGGGTTGGTTCCTCTGGGCGACTTCGCTGTCACGCAGGCTGACGCGTGGGTCAGCGGACGCTGTGTGCACGTTGAGCTTCTCTCGCGCCGTACGTAGCCAACCGTGATAATCGGAGGTGCGGCGGAGGGTCGGGTGCGTGGTGGGGGGGGCGGTGTAAGGACAACAAACTAAACACGAAAGAGCAGTTGTAGAGAGTATTTCAATCGACATTTCAAAGTGGATAGCTCCAGTGCCGATGATAGGAAGGTTCTTATTTTGACTTTCTCTTCTGATTCCGGGGCGATGTCTGCGCACCGCACCGGCGGGCGCTTCCTTTTAATGCTGAGCCGACCTAGGGGCTGGCGGCCCAGGAGCCCGGTACGTTTGTGAACGCGCGCCTACTCCGCACGTCGTAACGCGTCTTCAGGCTGGAGTGGCAGAGAAGCAGCGCTCATTGGCGGCTCGGTTGAATCTCGCTCGTGGCGTGAGCTCTGCTCTGTCGTGTCGATCGGATCCCCCCGGCGTCTGGCGCGCTCGAGGCGGCCAGCGGATGTCGGCGATTTCGTCGGCCGGCACCAGCGTGCGACCGCGCGCACAGATCGTGAGTTTGGAGCTTGTGACGTGAAAGGTCGCGGCGCCCTTGTCCCCCAAAAAAAAAAAACGGTGCCTAGGCTGCACTTTACTTTCCCCGGTACGCGAGTCCGTGCGTTGAACTTCTTTCACACCGTACTGTAGCCAGCCGCGTTCACCGGAGGGGCGGGCGGGCGGGCGGGCGGGCGAGACTACAAACTAAACAACAACAAACAACGAGAAGCAGCTCTAAAGAAATTAGTTGATCAATGTGGACGGTGACTTGAAAGTGCATCGCAGCTCCCAGCGGCTTCCTAATGTGGTGGCGGTGGAAAAGCTGTGGGGGGGGGGGGATTTGGGAGTTGTGGGGGTGGGGAGGTAGGAGGGGTAGTGGGGGTAGGGGGGGGTGAGTCGTCGCTGTGCCAAGGGGGTAACGCGGGAGCTTGGCGCCCCCCCCCACGACCCCGAGACTCGTCGCACGCTGTAAATAAACGGTGGGGGGCAGGGGGGGTGATTTGGGGTTTGGCTTCACGCGGTGGGTCGACACGGGAGAGGGGTACGAGGTGTCTGCGGTACGGTCGGTCGGTCTTCTTAAACGGTTGTCTCTGTTGCAGCCCCCATTGCTGATGCTGCTGATGTCGCTGCTGCTCCTGGTGCTGCTGCTGATGCTGCTGCTACCGCTTCTGCCGCTAATGCTGATGCTGATGCTAGTGCCGATGATGCTGATGATGATGCTGATGAGGATGCTGATGAGGATATTGCTGATGCTGCTAATGCTGCTGCTGATGCTGCTGCTAGTGCTGATGATGCTGATGAGGATACTGATGAGGATGCTGTTGAGGATGCTGCTGCTGATGCTGCTGCTGATGCTGCGAAGCCTGTAGGTTTAGTTGTCGGAGCCGGCCGGAGGCGGCCGTCTATTTTTTGGTAATCTGCTGGGTGTCTTGGTGTAACCCAACACACCACCCCCACCCTCCCACTTGTTCCGTGGTGTTAACGAAAGGTGGGGGGCAGTGACGGGGTGGTCTCCATCAGGGTTGGTAGAGCCGTGGTGTTTTCGTTCGCCCCGGGGCGTTTCGTTAGCCCTGGGGCGTTTCGTTAGCCGTGGTGTTTCGTTAGCCCCGGGGGCGTTTCGTTCGCCCTGGGGCGTTTCGATAGTCGTGGAGTTTCGTTAGCCCCGGGGCGTTTCCTTAGCTGGCGTGGCAACCCTGCGGATGAGGCATTGGCCCGGGTGAGAGTTGGAGGCACGTCGTCCTCACTTCGGTAGTTGCCCAAGCCGCCGTCCGGATCGTCCGTTTCCTTCCGAATTATTGTTGTTGTTGTTTACGGATCGCCGTGGGTACGTCTCTTTTTATTATTTTTTCCAAATTTCCCCCGCAGCCAAAAAAGCGATGGGAATCCGGGTCGGGTTTTGCGCGCCCCGCGATGGGAGCCCGCGGTACGCCCAGCAGCGAGCGCCCGCCGGCGTTACCGGCACGCTGGCGCCGCTCCGCTCGTCCGTAGCGAACCTCACTGCCTCCGGCAATGCCCTTTGGCCGTGTCGCCGTGAGGGCCGGGGTAGCGGTAGGGGTGGGGGGGCGGTGGGGTGGAGACTTCACTGCCACGCCGCTGATTCATTGTTGTGATTTTTTTATCATCAGCCAGCAGCAGCAGCTTTCAAAATGAGTTAAAGGTACCACACAAAGACACAGATACCCCCCCCTCCGTCCAACCCTCACAGACTGTTGGGGCAAGTGGTGTTAGGTGGGAACGGGTGGGTGGCCATCACTACGCCCGGCCGCCTTTGTCTCCCCCAGTGGCGATGTTTACTGCACACCGCTGCACCAGGTACTAATTTGAGGCTGAGTCGACCTAGGGGAGGAGGCCCAGGACCGTTTCAGATAATCGTCACCGGTGTTGGCCATGAGCGGGAATCGTAGCACGGGCGTAGCGCTAACCGCTGCACCACCGCTCCACACACACAGACAAAAAAGACAAAGATCCCCTTAACAAACTGTTGGTGGGTGGGTGAGTGGGTCGGTGGGTGGGTCAGTGGTTCGGTGGGTGGGTAGGGTCCCGTTCACCGCTCAATCAGGGAACGGCGTGAACAGCTCAGCGTTCATTTTACTTAGAGAGAGAGGCATAGCAGCGGCAGCAGCAACGCTGTTTTATCAAGACGTCGGTACTCACAGCAGAGAATCATAGCGGCACGATCGCCGGCGCCGTCACTCTACCGATAGCCGGCGCCAAAAGCTGCCACACGCCACCACCGCCGTGTCCTTGCGGGATCCTCGGTACGCGCAGGTACGTCGTCGGAAGAACCGATGACCAACAGCGGTCGTAAATAAATGAGTTTCTGATTTTAGATTTCAAAGCGCTTAGCTCCCGTGGCTTCCTCACTGCAGTTGACATGGTGTGGGGGTGGTGGTGGTTGGGGATGGTTGGGGTGGTGTTGTGGAGTGGTGGTTGGGGTGGTGTGAGAGGGGTTGGCCGGGGCTCGCAACACAAACTGTTGTTGGAGATTCATCTCGATTTGACGATCAAAAGAACTGAAACCCTCTGAGGTGCTTTTAAAATATATATGGAGTGTGTTTGGGTTCATCTCGTCAGCAGGAGGAAAGTCGTTCACCGGGCCCCGAGCGGTTTTGGTGACACTCGTCGCAAGATCCATCCTCTCTCTCCCCTCTCTCCTCTCCTTGCTCTCTCCTCTCTCTCCCCTCTCTCTCCTCTCTCGTTTTTCTTATGATCAGAGGAAACAAGAAGAAGATGCTCGGTGTAGTCGGCACTTTGCTTCGTTCATCATTTCGGTTTTTTTCAATGCTTTGCTTTATGTGCCCCCCCTTTTTAAACGA